ACAAATACGTCACCACACAGGGATTTTAAGGAGAGGGGTGTGATGCGCTAGCCGTCGCCCACCCTTGGGCGTCCGCCTCTTCCTATCTCTCTTCGCAGTCTCTCGCAGATTCTCGCTGCGACCTTCATGCCACCTCGCGGTCGCCCCCTTCTCGTCGTTCTTTCCCTTGTCTCGGAGCGCATCCAGTGACAGGGAGACGGACTTGGAGGACTTCTGCTATTTTTTTCTGAAGTGAAACGAAGCGTTGCGGGCAATAATGGAGGAGGCAAACGCTCCGTGCGGGCTCGACCGCGTATCGATTTGCCCCGGTTGTAATGCGCAAGGCGTAATCAAGGTCCAACACGGCTTTCGCGTGATGGACCAGGCGCGAGTCCTTGCCAGTTTCCTCTTGGGCCTTTTCCTTTCCGCTTTCAGTCGTGACAGTGGAGTCTCTATAGGTGTGCGGCGTCTGTGGCGGAGAAGGCTGTCTCGTTGATGGCCAGAAGCAGAACGACTTGAATCAGCAGCCTAGGCCGTCGCAGGAGCAGGCGTTGGCTCGCGTCATCCAGCTTCTCCCAGATGTGTGCGACCTCACTTTGATAGATGCCGTCAGCGATCTGCTCCATAATGGTGATGCAGATGGCGCCCTAAGGCTTCTCTCAGAGTGATTCGCGTTGCCCGTGGCCTTCAACGCCAGCTATACTTACGGTACCTGGATATACCAAAATTGCATCGCCGGGCCGTGGGTGCCGCCGCGGCGGGGGGGCGCGATATGCGCGTGGCGCGCGTGGCGTGGGGTCTCTCCGCCTTCGGATTCTCTCTCCCCGACCGACGGCGATGGCGGTGTGACCGATTGAGCTACAAGAGGAGCTTGTTCAGCAGGATCCGGACCGTCGGATGCACTACCTCACTGGGCCTGAGAACACCGCACGACCATGCTGCTAGGGGGGGTTCCCGACCCCCCCAGCACCAGACAGAGCTCTGCTGCTGGGGGGGGGGGTCGGCCATCCATGACTTTAGATGTGCAGGGGGGGTACCGAGCAGTGTGCGGCCGCTCTGGGGGCGCGTCGCCCTGCTTGCTCTAGGTGAAACGTCTAAAGGACGAAGAAGACCCAAATCCGCACGGCGGGGTTGAGCACGGCGGGCGGAGAACACGGGCACTAGACCAGGGAGGACTGGGAGTCTGGCTGGGAGAGTGTGAATGGAGGGACACGTGTGTTCAGACGGCCGCCGCCCGCGCCGTGTCTGTCGCGTGAATCGTGCTGACATTCTTTTTCTCGGATTTTTTTAAATGTGAATAATGCTTCCCCCGCCGCCCGCGCCGGCCAGCTGCTCGCTAGTGTTGTTCAATCTTCAATGCTCCACGAATGAGCAGCAGCAGCTTGGAGACCCGAGCGCTGGAGCGGTTGGTGCCGCGGTGCCTGGTGAGGCGACTGCAGCACCCGAGCCGGCACGCCGCCAGCCTTCGCAGTCCATCGGTGCGCCGTTCCCAGCGAGGTGCGCACAGAGCCACCTGCCGCCGACCGCGCCGGCCGCCTCGCAGGTTGAGGTTTACGAGGGTGCTCTGGCGTTCATCGACATCTCTGGCTTCTCGCGCCTCTCTGAGCTGCTATCCGAGCGGCATGGTGCTCAGGGTGCCGAGCTGCTGCAGACCTACATCAACCGCTACTTTCGCTCGCTCATCGAGGCGGCGCTTGCCTCTCCGCCCACCGCCCTGCAGTGGGTGGTGTCACCCAGACCCCCACCGCACCCCGCAGATCGTGGTCGCTCACGGCGGCGACATCCTGAAGTTCGCCGGCGACGCCTTCATCGCCTCCTGGCGTGCCGACTCGGCCGCCTCTGCTCCCGGCCAGGCGGCCGGTGGTGGCGCTACCTGCGGCAGCAGCAGGGGCAGCAGGGCGGGCCGCGGGAGCTGCGCCCAGACCTTCTTCGACGGCGACGCTCTGGCGGCCGCGCTGAGGCCCGGGAGCCAGGCGAGCGGCGACGCCTCCGAGCCGGAGCCGTCTGTGCTCGGCTGTGCAGTCGAGGCGGCGTGGCGCTGCTGTGCGAGGCGGCGGCAGTAGCGCGGCGGCGGCGGTAGCGCGGCGGCGGCAGTAGCTCTCGCGGCTGCAGTAGCGCGCGGCTGAGGGGCTGGTGGGCAGCCTCCCTGACAGTGCCTCCTCCCCCCCACCCCCCCCCACCCACCCCAACGGGCAGGCTGGTGCTCGAGCTCGACGGCTTCGTGGTAGAGGAGGAGCAACGCCCCTCTCGCCCCTCTCGCCCCTCTCTCTCCCGCCCCTCTCTCTCCCGCCCCTCTCTCCCGCCCCTCTCTCTCCCGCCCCTCCCGCCCGCCCGCTGCTGCGCGCGCTCTGCCCCGCCTCGCCCCGACGCGTCGAGCCCGCGCGGAGCAGGAGGGCCTCCCTCTGCGCCTGCACGCTGGCCTCTCCGCCGGCCTCGTCGACGCCTTCACCCTCGGCGCCGCCCCTCCCTCCGCCGACGGGTGCTCGAGCGCCTCGTCTCGGGCGAAGCGGGTGCAGCTTACTGAGCAGCTTACTGAGCGGCGGCTCGTGCCCTTCTCCCAGGTTCGAGTACCTCGTCTCGGGTCAAGTAGTCTCGACGATGGGCGGCGCTGCAGACGAGGTATGCGCACGCATGCACATGCACTGCACATGTGTATCCGCCGCGCCGGGGAGGGGACAACGGCCTCTGGGGCGGTCGGGACACGCCCACGACACGCCCACGACACGTCCACGCCACGCCCCCCCCAGGCTTCGGCGGGCGAGGTCGTCCTCTCCGCTGCTGCCGCCACCGCGCTCGGCCGCGACCGGCTCGCCGCACTGCCTCTGCAGCAGCCTCTGCAGCGGCCTCTGCAGCAAGGGTGTGGCGCTGCGGCGGGGGGAGGGGACGAGGCGGGAGGCAGCGTCACCTTCCGTGCGCCCCCCCCCGGGGAGGAGGCGGCTAGGCAGCAGGCTCTCGCTCTCCTTCTTGCGATGCCCGACCGCGCGCAGAGAGCGGAGCTGCTGCCCGACGAGGCGGAGATAGCCGAGATGCGGCCGAGATGCAGCCGAGATGCAGCCGAGATGCGGCCGAGATGCGGCCGAGATGCGGCCGAGGTGAGCTCCGACGCGTTGCCGCCGAGAGGGAGGGCACTGCTCTCCCCCGGGGCACTGCTCTCCCCCGGGGCACTGCTCTCCCCCGGGGCTATATACATATATATCATTCACGCAGCAGCGGATGAGCGTCAGGCTCCGCCCGAGGGGGGGCTGCCCGCCTACTGCTCCCGCCTCGCCGAGTACGTGCCTGCAGTCATGCGGCGCGCACTCCAGACCTGCGAGGCGCAGCAAACCTCCTCGCCAAAGCGGACGGACCCGCCGCCGCCGCCAGCGCCGCCGCCGCCGCCGCCGCCGCCGCCGCCGCCCGACGAGTTGGCGCAAGTGCAGTCGCTGTCTCCCCGCGGGATGGGCTGGCCGGGCATACGCGCCTCGCTCGCTGCGGGCGGCGGCGCGGGTGGCAAGGAGGCGGGTGGCGAGGAGGCGGAGGCTGTGGAGGCGGGGGGCAAGGCTGGCGCGGAGTTTGTCTTGAGGCTGCCCGGCGCCGTCCCCGCGGCCGCCCCGGCGGCGGCGAGGCTCGATGCGGCGGCGAGGGGCGAGGCTGGGGCCGGAGGGAGGTGCGGAGAGCCGGGCGGCGTCTCGGCAGCTTGCGCGCCGCTCGGGGAGGAGACGCTGCTTGGCGGGGGGGCGGGGCTAGGCGGGGGGGCGGGGCTTGGCGGGGCGGGGCTTGGCGGGGGGGCGGGGCCGCTGCACCCCTCCCTTCAGCCCCCCCCCTCCTCGGCCTGTGCGGACACCACGCTGCTCGGCGCGACGTGCGGCGGCGGCGCGACTCAGCTGCTGCGGCTCAAGTCCTCCCTGCTCACCGCGGAGCACCGCGTCGTCTCGTGCGCCTTCCTGCAGCTGGGAGGGCTCGGCGCAGGCCTGTGCGACATCGGCTCGGCGGAGGCGGCGCAAGAGGCGCTCCTCACCGTGCAGCGCGCCGCCGCCGCCTTCAAGGTCGCGCTGCTGCGCACGATCGTCGACGACAAGGGCGTGCGCTGCCTCCTTGCCGGCGGCGTCCCTGGCTTCGCTGCCGAGGACGACGCGTGGCGCGCCGTGTCCTTGTGCGCCGCCTGTGCCGAGGAGCTGCACGCGTCCGGGCTGCGGGTGCGCCGCCACGACGGGGCCTTGGTAAGACACACCTCACTAACCCTAACCCTAACCCTAACCCTAACCCTAACCCTTGGTAAGACACACCTCACCACCACCAGTCCGCCCGAGGAGCCGCGACAGGTGAGCCGCAGCCTCACGACAGGTTAGGGTTAGGGTTAGGGTTAGGGTTAGGGTTAGGGTTAGGGTTAGCGACAGGTGAGCAGCGGCCTCACGACGGGGCGCATGTACCTAACCCTAACCCTAACCCTAACCCTAACCCTAACCCAGGTGAGCAGCGGCCTCACGACGGGGCGCATGTTCTGCGCGTACGCCGGCTCGGAGTTGCGCGCCGAGTACACCCTGCACGGCAAGGTGGTCAACGCGGCCGCCCGCATGATGTCGCACGCCGCGAGCAAGGGAAGCGCGCCTCCCCTCGCCGACGCCCCTCGCTCGGGCATGGCCATGACGTGCCGCGGACACGCCCCGCAGGCTCGCCCCTCCTGATCGACGCGGCGACGCGCGACGCGGCGCTGCTCGCCCGGCCGGACGCTCGCTTCGAGTCGGCAGGCCCTTTCGATGCAAAGGGCTTCGCGGAGCCGCTCGAGACGTTTGCCCCCGTGGCGGGCGGGCTCGCTCCCTGCCCGCAGCTGCTGCGCCAGTCGACGGCCGAGATGAGGGCTGAGCAGTTCGCCCTCGGCTCGTCCGGCGAGCGCCGCAGCGTGCTCGGATCCGGCCGCAGCGCCGCAGACCTCTGAGACCTCTGAGGCCCGTGCGCAGGCGTGTACCGCATCATGCTCGGCTCTGGCGAGGAGCCCGCGCGGTCGAGCGGCGGCCCGCCGCTGCAGCTGAGGACGAACTCGCGCTTCTCCTCCCTGGTCGGCGGGCAGTCCTCGCAGTCGGCCCCCCCGACGGCTCGAGGGGAGGCGTCGCCTCGGGAGGGGGGCAGAGCCGTGCTCCGGCCCGTGCTGAGCAAGGCCCCCGTCGGGCACCCCGCGCGCGGTCAGCAGGGACGCGTCCCTCACGCGTCCACGACGCGCCCCCCAGGCGACGTCGGACCCGCACGCCGTCGGCAGGGCCTCTCCCAGGGCCTCTCCCAGGGCCACCCCGAGCGCCACTCCAAAGGGGACGCACGACGCGACGCACTACGGGCTGTGCGAGCCCGGCGCGGCGAGGGGGAGGCGCGCTCTGACGATGCCACAGGCTGCGTTGTCGCTCGCCGCGGCGGCGGCGAGGGCCGCGGAGGCCATCGGCGGAGGCAGGAAAGAGAGGGAGGCTCGGGCGCCCCAGAGGGAGAGTGGAGGCTCGGGCGCCGCGCTCCGCCGCACGCCGAGCGATGGCACGCCGGGCGAGGGCGGCGGCGATGGTCGCGGGTTTGTCGACTTGTCTCATGACCCGGTCTCTTCTTGCGTTGCCGCGTCGGGGGCGGCGTCGGAGGGCGGGGCCGGGGCCGGGGCGGATGAGGAGGGCAGCTGCGGCGCGCCTGTGGAGGCGGGGGAGGCGCGCCAGGGGGAGGTGCGCCAAGGGGTGCCGGAGCTGCTTGTCGGGCGAGAGGAGGAGCAGGCGCTGCTCTCGCACGCCATCGACCGGCTCGCCGACATGCGGCTGAGCCGAAGAGAGGCGAGGACAGCTCTCCCTCACGGCCGCAGCTGTGAGCAGGCTCGCCGACGGGGGGCCAGGCGGGCTCGTCCTCATCGAGGGAGACGCGGGCGTTGGCAAGACGGCGCTGCTGCAGCACGCCGCTGCGGTTGCACGCGCCGCGGGCGCCATGCTCATCGTCGAGACGGCTCGCGGGCCTGCGCTCGGAGGAGGGGCGGGGGCGGGCGGGGCGGGCGGCGGGGCGGCGGGCGGCGCCGACGGCGGAGAGGGCGGCCCCAGTTCCGCCCCCCCGCCCTTCTCCGGCCCGTTCGACGTGTGGGTGGCTCTGCTGCCGCAGCTCTTGCCGCGGCCGTACCTCGAGGCACCCGAGATTATAGCCAGAGATGCCCAGAGATGACCAGAGATTGCCGCGGCCGTCGAGGGCTCGTCGGCCAGCCCCCCCTCCCCTCTTTCTTCTTCAACGGACCCATCTCAGCGCCTCCTCGTCCCTCCTCCAGGCGCTCATCGACCAGTACCTCGCCTTCGCCTTCGTCCCGCACCCGCAGCCGCCCGCCGACGGCCGGCGTGCTTCCGAGGCCGAGGCGTGCGAGGAGGCAGTGATCGCGCGGCTGCAGCTGCAGCGCGGCCTCTCCTCCTCCTCGTGCGTCTCTGCCGCCGCGGCGACCACGTCCTCCTCCGCAGGGCTCGCGTCGGGTGGGGTGGGCAGGGAGAGCGCCGCTTCCGCCCGGGGCAGCGGCTTGGGCAGTGGCCGAGGAAGCTTCGAGGATGGCGGCGGCGCGGCCGGGGATGCGTCGGGTTGCATGCATGTCCTCGAGGCGCCTGACTTTGGCCCTGACCCTGTCCCTCACCCACCCCCGCTCCCTCGCCCTCCCCCACCCCCGCTCCCTCGCCCTCACCCTCGCCCGCTCCCTCGCCCTCCCCCACCCCCGCTCCCTGCCCTCCCCCACCCCCGCTCCCTCGCCCTCACCCTCACTCGAGCCACGTGGCACTCCTCACAGGCGCGCGAGTCGCTCCGCCGCTCGGTTGGCGGGCGCGAGAGCCCTGCGTGCGCCTCCGAGGCCGCGCCGCCGCGCCGCGCGTCGGTGTTTGACTCGATGGGCTCTGCCCCCAAACTCGACGAGCGGAGGTCCTCCTCCGTCGAGCTACCCCTACCCCTACCCCTACCCCTACCCCTCACCGTACCCCTACCCCTCACCCTGACCCTCACCCTCACCCCAACCCCAACCCCAACCCTAGGTCCTCCTCCGTGGAGCTGCCGCGCCGCGAGATCTCGACGCCGAAGCTCAAGCGCGCATCGCAGGTCGACGGACCGGGTCCGGGCGCCGCGCCGCCGCCGCCGCTCTGCATCGTCACTCCGTCGGAGGTGGCGCACGAGCGGCGCACGTCCGAGGCGCGCACGCCTCCGCCAGCGGCATCGCTGGCTGCCGCCGAGCCTCGCATGAGCGCTCTCGGAGCTTTCCTGCAGGCGCGCGCCTCTGCCCGCTGCTCGCTTCGTTTCGGCGGCGACAGCGAGCGGAACGATTCGGCGCGCGGCTCGGCGCCGCCCTCGGCGCGAGACGGCTCTGCGACGCCTTCGGCGCACCCGTCCGGGCGCCACTCCCTCGCCGGGGAGGCTGCCAGCCCGGAGCAGATCCCGAGCGGGGCGGGCGGCGCAGGCGGGGCGGGCGGCGCAGGAGGGGGGAGGAGGACCCTCACGTGCGCAGAGCTGCAGCCCGCCGCCTCCTTCGCGCGAGGCGGCGGGCGGCGCCACCGCGGCCTCCGCGCCCTCGGCGCGGCCGGCCTCCGCTCAGCCTCCCCTTCACCCTTCTCCACGCCCTCCGTAGGCTTCCGCTTCCTCGGCTCGGCGGAGATCGCGCTGCTCGCCGACGAGGCCGCACGCTCGCGCCTGCCGCTCCTCGGCTCGATGCTGCCGCACCAGCTGCCCGAGTATTGCTCACGGGGCAGTACTGGTACGGATGTGAGTCAGGTTCGATGCTGCCGCTCGAGCTGCCCGAGTCGGCCGCGACGCGCGAGCTCTCGCAGGAGGAGCGCGCCGCCGCCACGCAGGAGCCGCTCGTCCGGCCGCTCGTCGTGTCCGGAGACACGTCCGTGACCCGTCCACGGTAAGCCGCGCAGGAGCTGCTCGTCCGGCTGCTCGGCGAGCGGCTGCAGGTGCAGCGGCCGTGCGTGCTGCTGATCGACGACGCGCACCGGATGCACCCCTCCTCGTGGTCCCTCCTACGCGCACTCCTCGCCACCAGCTCGCACTCGCTGCTCGTCGCCATCGCGCACAACCCGGCGGCAGCGCACCCAGACGTCGCCGACGCCGCCGCCGCCTTGCTCGGCTCGCCGCCGCCGCGAGCCGAGGCCGCCGGTGCCGCGTACGCAGCGGCGGCGGCGGGCGGCGGCTTGGCCCCGGAGTCGGCGGTGTGGAGGTCTGTGCCGATCGCCGAGCTGAGCGAAGCGCAGGAGGGGGAGCTGCTGCGCCGCTGGCTCTGCGTCGACGACTTGCCGCCGCCGCTGCTGCCGGCGGTGCACGCGCGCTCGGGCGGCAACCCGTACTTGGCCCAGGAGCTGCTCTTCGCGCTGCTGCACTCGGGGCAGCTGCTCGTGGAGCTCGATCCGGCCCACGCCGAGCCGGGCCCCGCCGTAGCAGCGGGCGGCGCGGCTGTCGCGGGGGAAGAGCGCGTGCCGCTCGACGCTCGCCTCGCCCCCTCGCCGGGGGAGGAGGAGGAGGAGGAGGAGGAGGAGGAGGAGCCGGGAGGAGGGGAGCGGCGCGCCGCGAGAGGGCTCGCGCACGCCGCCTCCCCCGCCACGCACGCCGCCTCCCCGCTTCGCCGCGCCGTGCTCCGGCCCCGCGAGCGGCCTCCGTCCCTGCGGGACAAGGAGTCCCTGCGGGACGGGGGCGGCCCGGGCGGGGGCGGGTTGGGCGCGGGGCCGGTGCTCGTCGTGGACCTGTCCTGGACATGTCCACGACACTTCTCTGACATGTCCCATAGGCGCGGGGCCGGTGCTCGTCCTGGACTTGCCCGACTCGGTGCACGCGATGGTGATGGCGCGGGTCGACACGCTCCGCCCCGACGAGCTGCTCGCCCTCAAAGTCGCGTCCGTCATCGGCCACTCCTTCGCCCTCTCGACCCTCGCCGCCATCCACCCCGCCCTCCCGCCCGCCGGGGCCGCCGCAGCAGCCTCGACCATCACCACCCGCCGCCGCTCGACCCGCGCCGGCTCGGGAGAGAGCGGCCGCCGCTCAGCGACGCCGCCGCTGGTGGCGCAGCTGCGCGCCATCTGCGAGCGCCTCGTCTCGCACCACCTGCTCCGACCCTGCGGCTTGCTCGCGAGGCCGGAGGCGGAGGCGGCCGCCGCTCGCGCCGCCGCTCGCCCGCCTCGGAGACCGGCGAGATGACGCGAGGCTGCCCGAGGGGATAGGCGCGCGGCCGACGCTCCTCCGCCTCCTCCTCGGCGAGCTCTTCGGTGGCCGCGGCGGAGGAGCGACGCGCCAGCGGCTCGCGCCGCCCGCGGCGCCGCCCCCGCCCCCCCCGACTTGCCGCGCCGTGCCCCGCAGGAGGTGCCAGACTGCGACTACGTGTTCGTCTCTCAGCTCGTGCGCGAGGGAGTGCACGGCATGCTCCCCTTCAGCCAGCGCGCCCGCCTCCACACCGCCGTCGCCTCGCACCTCGAGCGCCAGGCCGAGCGCGCGCGCCGCTTGGCGCCGCCCGGCGCCGCCGCGCCCGACGGCCGGCGTGGCGGCGCGCCGACGTACGAGGCGACGACGGCGCTGGCGCAGCTGGGAGCGCACTGGCACGCGGCGGGTCAGCTCGGCCGCGCGCTGCGCTGCAGCCACCGCGCGTCGCGCGAGGCAGCCCTGCTCGGCGAGACGGGCTGGGCGAGATGTAGCCGAGATGCCGCCGAGATGCCGCCGAGGTGCCGCCGAGGTGCCGCCGAGGCGCAGCCCTGCTTGGCGAGACGGGCCTGGTGCCTGCGGCGGGGGCTCTCGGCTGGGCGGGGAGGCGTCCACAACACGTCCCTGCGGCGCGTCCCTCAGGCGCGTCAGCTGCTGGAACTCGCGCTCTCCGTCGCCGAGGCGTGCCCGCCCACCCCACAGCCGGCCCGCCCCGGCCCGACCCCATGACCACCCTCCTTCTGGGCACCGCAGGAGCGAGAGGCGTTGAGGGCGGCCGCGGCGAGCGGCGGGGAGGAGGGAGGCGGCGGAAGGGGCGGCCGCGACGAGGGGAGGCTCCCGTCGGCGGCGGACCTCGCGGACGAGGTTGCGACGCTGCGGCGCGTCGAGGAGTGGGAGGCGCGCCGTGCGGCAAGCGAGGCGAGCGCGGAGCCTCCTCCGGCCCGCTCGCACTCCTCCTCGCTGCTCGACGAGCAGGAGGCGGAGGAGGCTATGCCTCCGCGCCTCCTTACCAGCCTGAGCGAGCCGCTGCCACCGCCGCCCGCCCGTGGCTAGAGGGGCGCGCACGGAGAGGGCGCAAAGACGGGAACTATGGAACACATACGCGCCTGTCCGCCCTGTTTATACTTTCGTACTTTGTTGTGGGGTGTCGTCGTTGCTGTAGTGCCTATGGTACAACGTACACAAGGGAACAAGGCGGTTCTCTACAGCGGTTCTCCACACACGACACCACAGCGGTTCTCGAAAAAGCACACAGGTGCGTCACAGCATCAGCTCAGCTCCAGAGTTGGCAGCGAGAGCGGCCGCACGTCCACTCTAACGCCTCACATCCCCACCCACACACCACAGATGTGCTTTGTGTTTTGTGTCACGGTCTTCATCTGCCCTTATGTGTTGCTACCTCTCTTCATTCGGGAAGGTGTACCATCGCTTGGCTTTCTTGTTTTGTCCCGGTTTTGTGCGCTCGGAGTCCGCCTTTTGTTGTGCTTTGTTGTACTTTATACCAGTTACTTGGTGTAATTCACACCTAAGGTACTGAAGGGGTACCTGTCACATTTGACCGTGAACAGATAGCGTCGTTGGTTGCTTTCCCGGACCAGTGGAGTCTGCATAGAGCCCTAGCGTCACAGTCCGCCTCCGCCGAGTAGCCGCGCGGGTAGCGCTGAATAACAAACTACTAACTACTCCTCAGCCCGCCGCCACCCTCAGCCTCACTCATCCAACGGAAACGCCCGGCTGACGCCCGGGCTATTCCTCCCCCCCCCGTCCGCAGAGCGCTCTCAACTCAGTGAGAGCCGTGCTACGCATGATGGACAGGATGGGCTACCAGGTTATCGAGACGCGGACGCTAACTAAAGCATGCAGGACGCTTACGCGGGAATACATGGCCAAGCATCGAAGCATGGTTATAAAAGCCTGCTGCTCAGAAAAGCGCAGCCCGTGCGTCGAGAGGAGATCGAGGCGCAGCTCACGCAAATTCCTGACGACGTGGCGGTGGGCCCGTGGACGTTCAAGACAGGGTCACAGGTGAGCCTCAGCTTGAAGGCGGTGATCGCGTTGCTAGCGGAGACAGGCTTCCGGGGCGCAGAGGTAGCTCTAGTCCCGGGACAGACCTACGCTGGCAGCACGTGCCTGAGTCGAGCGAGCTTCCGGTGGAAATTTGCGGCATCGGACCCGAGGATCGCCGACGGGACGATCACGGTGGCGCAGCTCGAATGGGTAGAGCACCCTACGAAGGAGCAGCTCATGCACATGAAGGAGGGCGACTTGCTACTCGTCATGCCGCCGCCTAGCAAGGCGGACGCATTCGCGGCAGTATGGGGCAATCGGCCGATCTACAAGTACAACTTTTAAATATTATACCGCCTAAAACTGTCCCCTCAAAAAGAACTTTTTCTTTTACGGCCGCGCCAGCGGCCGCGAAAATTAGAATTTTCATATGTGAAATGGCACTTTTACGGCGAAAGGGCGAAACTGGGAGTTGTAGTGATTTCGGAACTTTTACGAGGCGTCAAAAACGTTTCAGCGGTAATATTTATAAAAGTTGTACTTGTACCTGGCCTACCACCCCACCCTTTTGGCATCGACGGGACAAGCTTCGCCGCCGCCGATGCCTCTCTCGAATTTGAAATTGACGATTCATGCGTATGGGGGTTCCATTACGTCGGGAACTGGTTATGTCGAGCAGCTAGCCAAACTGCTCCCGAACGCTTCCGTCCGAAACTTTGGTGTTGGTGGCACGGGTGTCGGCGCGCACCTGTTGTGCGGCCTTACGGCGCCCGCCGACATCATCGTTTCTGAATACCGCATCAACGAAGACAACGTGGATCACTTGCGCCGCTTCTACGACATCGCCCGGAACTTTTCGGGCCACATCGTGATTCTTGACCTCTGGTCGTGGCTAATGCCCTGGACACCAGGAGCGGCACCCTCCTCAACGATCAGGGCAAAACCCGCAAGGGACTCCGCGTTTTCCGTGTTGGACCTGGCAACACTGACCGGCCCGATGTGGCGACTTCAAATCCCGCCGTTTACCGCCGGCAACATGTTTGCCAACGTCCTGCGAGTTCACCCTGACTCGACCACAGAAGCGTGCCTTCGTGGTGCTGCAGAAAGCACCCAGGAAGATAGAAATGCGGTGACGAAATGCCGAGATTCTCCCCGTAGGAATGAAATGCAGCATGGGTCGAGCGAGTACGCCAACTTTGTTGCTGCTGCCCTGGAAAGCCACATCCACGAGATTGTTCGCACTGACAAGATGCTGGGCTCACGATTTCCCACCAGTAAAGTGGGGGGCGGGAAGATGTGCATCGGCCATTGGGGCCAAGCCGCGGAACAGACGTACCAGGCCAACAAAAATGCATGCAAGACGATGAGACAGGCAAACAGCCGCGATGGCCGCGAAAAATACTACCGGCATTGCGCACAGCTAGACGAGCTCATCGTAAACACGTCAGGATTCGAATATGGCAGCGTTTGGGGCCGAAAGGATAAGATGACGGTGCACTCAAACAAGGAATACGCCGCCGTAACCCTCGACTGCCCTTTGCGAGGGCAAAGCTCATACACCCGCGCTCGTATCGGGTTGGTGGTGCATTCGAGCGAGTCCGAATCCGGAACCATTGAAGTCAATGGCATGCCGCTGAGCACCCACCAACCCAGTACCCACGAGGGCCTGAGAACCCAACACTTTGTGCACGACCGCTTCGAGCTGCCGCTGACGATACGAGTTACAAAGCTTCATCCGGGCGCGCATATCGAAATCACCGGCATCGAGTGCGGAGATTCACACGCACGCTAGCACATGGTACTACCTCCGTTGAGTCGAACATTTCAAATAGCTAGGAATGGACCTCCAGCTCCTAACCAACCAGCTTGAGCTGCCGCACGGACGGTGACCTCACGGCAACACGGGGAAGACAGAGCGAGAGCCACCAAATAAATGTCAAACTCAAAGCACAAAGGCGTTCTCAAATGCACAGCCACGGGCACACATGAGCTAAGTGAAAAAGCCGTATGAATTAGAGCACCTCCGCCCACCTTCTTTCGAAAAGGCAGCAGCGGCGCTAAAGTGCTTCGTGCCTGTCCAGACTGTGTGCCGGTCACCGGGCCCCACGTTGTCGTTGCACGGAGTTCTAAGTTCCTGTGTTAGTGCCAGTGCGCGCCAAGTCCCGTGCCCAGTGTCGTGCGAGGGAGTTCGCTTGTAAAATTCTTAAAGTTTGAGGCCCAATCCGACAATCGCATGGACGCCCACCTATGCAGCCATCGCCGACGTCCTTGCTCAGACGCGCCTCTCAGTGTGGGCTGGTCAGACAGGCGAGCATTGCGCCATGCGTGCTCGGGCGCAGCTTCGGATGTGGACCTGGGAGCAACAGCATGTGGGTCGCAAAATGTCGAGGGACGTTTCGCTGCGGTTCCAGCACGGTTCACTGTGCGGGCAGCCCGGATTTAGCACGGGCAACTGCAGTTGTGAAGGGCGCGAGTACACCACCGTGCATACACGGCCGCCGGTGGGCGCGGCGCTTGCGGTCCTCCTCCAGGGCGACATCCGCGGCTCGGAGGCCGATGGCGTGGAGTGCGCCCTCAGCATCGAGCGGCACATCGTGCAGCCGACCAACTCGAGCGTCTTCCTCACTGTGTACGAAGAGCCGTCGGCGAGCGCTTCGCGGCCGTGTGACCGGCCGCATCGTGAGCTTCACTCACTCGAGCCGGCGAACGCAGTTCGACAACATGTTCCTGTTGCTCCGCATTCTCTCCGAGTACGAGGCCGCGCACGCGGTATCCTTCCCAAGCATCCTCATAGTGCGGAAGGACCTGGCCTTCAAGCAGAGCCTGCGACCGTTTTTGCTCGACACACGGCTCTACAGCGACGACGGCGAGGTGGAGCACGGCGTGGCCTTTGCGTGGCGCGAGATCAACGGCGAGTGGCGGCTGTTTTCCACCCAACGGGTCTCGAAGGAGACGCTTGCGAGGAACAAGCGCACGCCCGACACGCTCCACCTCGTGAGCCGCTCGTTCCTTCCAATGTGGCGAATGGTCGTGGCAAACCGCAGTAAATGCGCTCCACGAGGTACTCACGAGCCGTGCGAGGTCGCTCTTGGAGCCGCGAGAGTCTATCGTGCGATACCTCGTGCGCGGTGCGTTCGACTCCAACCCGGACCGCATCCTCGCCAGTCCCAACCCGCTCTACAACTTTCTGCCGCAAAAAGGCGACGAGTTTCTTCGAACCCAACAGACGGCGGCTCGCCTTAACCCCTCCAACCGGTGGCAAACGGAGGCGGGCCTCTGCCAGACGAGGGCCGACTTTGCCGAGGACCCGTCGTCTGGCTGGGCGTGCTGCCCGTCCCCCGAGAATTTGCTGCCCGGCTGCGCTGGGCGACTGCACGAGCCCGGAGGCGCAGCTCTATGACAATCCAAGCCCACACCCCGCGATGCTGGCCCACTACAGAAGAAGGAACCCCGTCGTGCGTCGCGGCAAACGGCGGGAAACCTCGCTGCGCGATGAACGACGCCGGATGCTTCGCGAGGCAGTGCAAGTACGCGGTGACCAATCGGACGCTGGAGGCGATGCTGGCGGCGCCGGGCTTTCGAGCAAGCGCGATTGCGCCCAGGCCTCAGGGCAAGGCGTGAGGCATGGGCGGGGCGTTGGTATTTACTTCCTCCCCTTAAGTTTCTGCCGTTGACGTCTTGGCACTACACACAATCATACGCGCGTGCCCAGACCCCAGACCACCCCTGTGTGTCGGTGAGACTACCCCGACCCTCAATTCGTCTTCATGCTTCGTGTGGTGAGGACGCGGACGGCTTCTCTCACCTCTCTCAGCTGGAGAGAAGACGTTATGTCTTCGATCTCATATGCTTCATGGACTCTGGAAGGGCGCCTCCGCGTTCCGGTCGTTGCTCGCCTGACAACTCCGGACCCCTGGCGCTACGTAGCCAGTTTATGTACCTTGGGCGTTGGGGAGAGTGCGCACACACCGCACGCGGGTGGCGGGACGAAAGACACAGCCCGTGTGCAAACATCCAAGAGACGGCTTTTTCGTTTATTGGTTCCCTTTTACTGGACACGTTCGCGTTTTCACAATTCATGTCACAAAAGACCGTGCCAGCATTACCTACAGCCACTAACTATGTTTTGAGCGAGGACCGCTCGGGCTCGCAGCCTCGCACACACACTCGTCCTGGCCGCC